GCCTTAATCAGCGACGATTCCCTCCTCTTCATCGTGATTTGCCCCTTTCGATCGTCATTTGGTTTTGCCCTTACTCGACCTATCTCCATTTTTTAGCATGATGCCTCCTCTTTCTTGCTAGAATTTTACAGTTCTCGGGAGAAATTTTCTTGAGGAGAAGTTCATCTCTGTGCAATTACTCTTACAATTTCTTTTGTTATTTGAGTATATGTTTCTAGTTCTAAACTTTTTTTAAAAAAATTTTCTTTTTCCATTCGAGATCAAGGGATTTTCACGTGGGATTCATGGATTCCAGATTACAAGAATGGATTATGGATCAATGAGTTGATATATTCTGAAGTACAAACTTATCAGACTGAACGGAAGTTATAAAATATCTTATCTGAGTTCTCCAACACGTTCCTTGCGCTTGATAAGCATAATTTAACTTATTAAAGTGTTAAAAACATATTAATTGATTGATTGGATGTCCGGACAAAGCATCGCTTCTGGACTCGATTTTTATAGCCACTCAATCAATTATGTCGAAAAATATTCCTCAATCATGAACACACGGAATCCAAAATCGATGAATCTAAAAACTTACTGCCACCGAAAAAGAACACCCGACCAACAAGAATTAACAAGATTTCCTAAATAACGCCAACAAAATTTCTACTGCCCTACAACCGATCCACAGCCAAACACCAAAAAAAAAAAAAATAATAAATAATAATAATAAAAATAAAAAAATCGCGAAATCGATCTCAGATATCCTAAAATTTGAAACCCAATCCATAAAAACCCACACAGTAATCACCCAATGCATGCATCAATAATAAACGAAACGAAATCCATCGGATCCATTCCAAATATAAAACCTAAACTCGCTCTTTACCATTCACTGAAGATCGAAGAAAGCGGAAATCCGCAAAGAAATAGAAGAGAAGAGAATCTCGAATCCCGAATCCCGCAGCGGGGAATATCGAAGATCACGTTGGATCGGCTCTCTACCTGATTGATTGAAGCAGAGAGGAAAGAATTCGGCGGAAGCCTAAGCGTAACAGAGGAATAGTGCGGTCTGCGTAGCCGATAGATTCCCTGAAAAAGAACTCCATCGTCTGCACTTGAGGCTTCTCACCGGAGGTAAGTATAGCGTGAGCGGCACCGCCGAGAACGCCGCCGCAACGAAAAGCTCCAGCATCGATCGAAGAAGAGGAGGGACTAGATATCGAGTTATCAATCCAACGTTTTTTTAATTTTCTCCGCCGGAATAAGGAAATATATACATGGTATAAAATTTGCCTCCATTAAATAAATATAATTAAATCATTTATTAACGTCAGTTCAATAAATAAATTATAAAAACATTCTATACATATTTGATATATCATTTAAATAAAAATTCATTAAATATAATTTATTTAATTATATTTTTAATAATAATATAATATATATTCTAATATAATATGTAATTTATTATTATTTTTTTGTATTTTAATGAATTTATTAGTACTTATTTGTATTATTTGATGGTAGAAAGCTTTTTTATAATTTATGCATTATTTTATTTACTTGGTGTCAATTAGTTTCATGCTAATTTAAAATATTTTTAATTAATTATTTATTTAGATCGATAACAAATAACTTTTATTAAAAAGTAAGTGCTTATTTAAACTTACTAAATTTATAAGAAAAATTACGTATGAATCAAATTTTGATCATTGAAAATTTAAGTCAAGTATGAAATTATATATATGAACGCTAAGCTTAAACTCAAATTGGACATGACTAGACTTTATGACATGCCTAAACTGATCATGTATAAGAAAATATTGAAAACATCATACCATATGATGCCTCATCAACAAATATTTATTATTTAGCATGAATATCAATTCTTCCTTTTTTTTTTTTTATATAATAGATGTTGAAAGCTACTTGTTTTGTAATCATTGGAAACCGACAAGATAATTCAAAGAGAAAATGTGAGAGGCCCTTATAATAAAAAGATGGTATATTATTCAGTTAGAGCTCCACCACTATTGTTATTACTATTTTCATAAGCCCAAATGCACTCACATCACATATGCAAAATCTTAAATCCACACCCTCTTAGTTGAAAGACAGATCACTCAACCACCAGTTCAAAGTGGCTTGCATTCTGATGCGTGCTAGAAAATTCGCAGCAGTAGAGTAATAGATTATTGTCTTAGCGTTGCACGAGAAATCAACACACACTGAAAAGAAAGAAACAACCAGTATGAACAAATATTAAATCCGAACTCCTTATGTAAAGATACGTTAGGAGCCCACTGTAACTATGCCACGTGGAGGTGAAAGAAAAATAAATGAAAAATTGTTTTAGCATCGGGGAGCATTTCCCCCGTGTTATTCCACATTATTCAGGCGTTATTGTGGTGGTATTCATGTATTATATTGTTCTGAGAATATTTCCGGTGTTATAATAATACAATAACACATCAATATCACCAAAATAACACCTGAATAACGCCGAATAACACAAGTATTCATGTATTATATTGTTCTGAGAATATTTCCGGTGTTATAATAACACAATAACACATCAATACCACCAAAATAACACCTGAATAACGCGGAATAACACAAAATGAATATTCTCCTATGTTATCGGGTCGGATCACAAAAATGCGCGCGTGTTTCCTTGAAGCCACGTGACCTCATATCAGTGGACTCTAAACACATCTCTACTTTAGGAGTCCTGGTAGAATAATTTTTCTAACCAGTAGAGACGCTAAAAGTTTTTATGTGGAAAATCCAGAAAGGAAAATAACCTCGGGGCCTCGCCCCAGTTGAAGAGAATCACTATAAACTGAATATTACAAATATAAGTCCTTGTCCCACAGACAAAAAAGAATTATAAAGTCTTCTGAGTTATAACGTCGATGTGAGGATGAATTTGTTGCTAGGAACAAGCGGCGGCTGATAGCGATTAGTGGAGGTCAGCAAGTGGTGGTCGACAGTGGTTGACGACGGTCAGTAACAAGCGGTGGTCGACGACGATAAGAGTGATGCTGGACTTTAGCTCATTCTCAAAGCTTCAAGTTCTTTCACCAACCTCAAGCTCTACCCCCTTATGGAAGGGGTCGGGTTCTATTTAGAGAGCTTAAGATGTAATTAATGTAAGAATATGAACCACTTTGATCGGACGATCATGAAAGCTTTCGTTGATCAGACGATATTTGGTGAACATTTAAGTATCTTAATGATATCAGAATCGAGCGAGCTTGAGCTCGTTGGATTTGTCTCTTTGATGTGCTTGATTCGACTATAGACTCGCTAGATTCGACATCCGTTTAACCTTCCAAATATGTCCAAAAGATTTCCAAATTGTTTCACATCTTGATCGGATCTTGATTTAGTTCAGACTGGACCTATTTTGATATCATTGGGTTCGTCTCGTTGAGCAGCTCATTTGACTAAATTTCCTAAAATCTAAGTTCAGGATGACTTTTTATCAAAGTTTGAACATTTCTTGTTCAAAAGAATACCTTGAGATCCGTGTCATGTCTCTAGATTTGTGTCGGATGCAGAAATCTATTGATGGTGTGTCACATTCCAACACTATTACTTAAGAACGTGAGATATTGGGTTTCGAAGTGAATTTCTAGACATATCTATTCAAAGATTTAATTAGGGGGCATATTTTTCCAACTCCATAAACATAAAGTCAAATTTTACTTGGAAATATGTAATGTTATTGATATACAAAGCCTTTTTCTTCATATACTTTCTTTCTTCGGTCATAAAAGCAACATGCAGATCAAAGAAGCTTCTCTTTCAGCTTCACGTGGGCTTAAAATCTTTTCCACCAATTGGCGTGTGGTGCGCGCGCGCGCGCGAGCTAAATGAATCAATATGCTCAATAGATTGTTTAGGACTCGGTTTTATTTTAATTATAGCTTTTTCATGGTCTTTAATTAGCTTTCAAAATAAGAATGGACATGTTCTAATTATTTGATTGATAAATTAACAAAATTGATGAGCTTGATTATTGATTAATTTATAGTCATAGAAAAAGATTTATGAATAAAAATTTTATTAAAGCTCAATAAGATATCCATTTAAAACTCCATTACAAATGTATTTAATATGTGACTAAATTAGTCTTATTCATTGACATCATTTGTTGATGCTCATTATTTGTTTCTCGTTGAGGACAAGATCTGGGGAAGCTTTTTTAAGGGAAGCCGGCAGTCTGAAAGTCTAGAATCTTTTACATATATTCCATCAAAATTTTCCTTAAAAAGTAGCTCGAGTTTAAGAATTCAAATCAAATTAAATATTTTAACTTTTTTTTTTTATGAAAATAAAATATTAAAATTTAAATATATATAAACTTATAAGTTCATGAATTCAGCATAAGATACCAAATGCTAAAATAAAAGTATTTACACTAACTTTGAAAAAAAAAAACAATTTTGCATATAATAACAAAAACTATCATCTCTTTATAAATACAAATATAAATTGCAAAGAAATTTTCTTAACAAATATTATTTATTATAATTTTAAAGAAGTTCAAATAATAAAATGCAAAATCACATCCTTCTATTTAGGCTTCATTTGAAATAACATCACAGCTCAATCAATTTCTTTTAAAAGTCGCATGCATCGAATTGAAACAGACCAGTTATGATCTGCAATGATAAAATTTATCATTCTTGCGAAAGGATACGTTCATCTCCCACTGCTTCATCAAACAAACAAAATTTTCTGACATTTCATTCACTCCAAACGAAAGGAACTTCACCAACTTCTCAAACCAAAAATCAAAAAATCAAACAGACCAGTTATGATCTGCAATGATAAAATTTACCATTCTTGTGACAGGAGACGTCGTCTTCCACTGCTTCATCAAACAAAAAAATTTTTCTGACATTTCATTCACTCCAAACGAAAGGACTTCACCAACTTCTCAAACCAAAAATCAAAAAATCAAGTATAAACGAATTCTAGAAAAAATCAGATCTTCATGGGAAAGTTTTTTGCCTCGAGTAATGGTTTAGATTTCAGAGAAACAAGTATATTTGTTGCTGATCGCAAACTTTTGTCAAAGAAGCCCCGAAAGCAACAATTTTCATGCAGATCAGCAGCCATTTAGACAGCTGCTGTACATATAAAATTGTTATTAAATTACCCGAAACACGATGGGAACATAACGTCAATCATAAGATTAAACACTTCTCAGCCCATTTTGATCACTAAATTAAAAAAAAAATGCAAATTAAAACAAAATTCCTGCCGCACTCGCCGAAAATGATACAAATAATTCACGTCGAAACCATCCATAGAAACCTACAAGGCCTTGATGGTCCAGTCATCGGCAATGCGGACATTGGGCTTTCGTATCACAAGAGCAACTGGGCTTGCGCCCGCTCTAAGTGCGAGCGGGCCGGGCTCGATGTCGGTTTCATGATTGCCGGGCTCGATCACTGCTTTTTTTGGGGCCGATGGTAGTCCGAGAATAATGATCCGCTCCACGGTGGCATTTGAAGAGAATTTCTTCGCTTCGGGTGGGATGGAATGCATGTTATATGAGGTCAGGATGCTGTTAGAGAAAACAAATCGACGGTGGATGTATGCGCCCTGCTCGAACTCGTAAGTCTTGCCGTCGTCGATGTAAAGCTCGCCTTCTGCGGCTAGAGAACTATTGAGTGCAATTACCTGAACAGTGATATGATGAAAATGTGAAGGATTGTAAATTCATCATGTTTGATAGAAGTTTAAAGAACTTCTCGATCAAGGAGAAGAAGCCCACAAGGACAAGGGGAAGAGCAAGCACATCATTTCATTGAATTCTGAAGATGGGTATGAAACTAGCCATGGAGACATAAAATACATACCAGAGTATAGGGATCATCTGTCATTTGTGTTGTGCTACGTCTGAACCTGTATCTTCTAGGGACAATGGAACCTGCCCTCTGGAAACTGGGTATGCTGTCTTCAACAACCTCAAGTTTGTGGATCTGGCCTCCAGAATATGCGGCTCCATTTCTCATGCTATACCAAGGCTGCTCCCCAGCCAAATAAACTGACACGGATTTTTGGCCCTGCGCAACATTTTAAACATAAGAGTGTGTAACATACTACAAAGATATGAATTCAGACTATGAGTACAAATTACCTCTTCATATATTCCCTGGACTAGGATACTTTCACCAACCAAAAAGGCCTCACTATTGTCAAATGTTTCTTTATCCTCGGGGAATTCAAGCCATAGAGGCCGCAATATGGGGATACCGCTTACACTAGCCTTTCTAAATAGGGAGTAGTAATATGGTAACAATGAATATCTTGTGTGTATTGCTTCCCTAATCAAAGCGGTTCTCCTCTCACTGTATCATGTTTAAAAATTGACTTAGGTTGATCAAAAGAAACAGAGGAAACATATCAATTGAAATGCAAATCAAACTATGGTCCACATGAGTTAATGAACTGCACCAAATGAAATTTAACTTATCATCGGCAATTAAATATTGGGCCAATGGAGGCAAAAGAATGATGTATCAGCACAAGTTATACACATAGCAAATAACCTTTCTTCAGAAATCTTAGGCTTTCAAAAGAAAATGAACAAAAGATGCTAAAAATGCTTTAGAAAAAAATTTCAGTTAGGGAAGACCTTTAAAAGAAATAATCAAGCAAACACAAATACTTACACATGCTTCTCGAGATGTCCCTGCCAACGATGTCTTGAATACATGGACAGAGAACTATCAGTCTCATTATTCTTTTACACAAAAAACTCAATTATACCATATGGATAGGATACAATTTGGTCAAAATATGAACATTAGCGTTTACCATTTAATTTGAACATGCCTTTACCATTAGGTTCCATCGTTATGATAATCACCAATAAGATGGGATTGGAAGAAATGCCAAAGGGCCCTATTATGTGATTGAACATGGCTTACTAACGGCATTGTAATATTAGATGGACCAAGTGATTTAAAGGCTTACAAGCATGTCCAAAATGTAACCAAGAGTCATAGGCCAAAGGAACTCAAAGGCATAGAAGAAGGCAATTTAGGCTCATAGGTATGAAATGGAGGGTAATGTCATAAAGGCATGTAATGGTAAAATCAAAAAAAGATGGACCAATTATGAGATCTTGGTAAACCTTCATTTAAATTAAAATTTGTTTTCTTAGCAAGTTTTTATAGATAGGGGTACTAGCGTTGAAGTGAAGCTCGTAATAGTTGATTTGTGTATTTCCCAGGGCAATGTTGTTGTACTGCATTAGGGGACTAATCCTCTCATACATATAACAAAGCCGCTTTTTTAGTAGCTCAATCATTATGATAACAATTTTTAGCATATATCTTGCCTTGTAGAATTCTTAAATAAGAAAGTGCCATCTTTTGCTAAAGCATTCCTAAAATGAATCACTAAAAAAACAAAGCAACATCCAACAAGAACATAATAAGTTATCATATGTGATAAAAACTAATAAATGATAATTAATTCCATTAGCTTTTCAAGTCCACACTAACATTGTAAAAACCGTTTAAAATTTCATTTGTTTCACACTTTGAATAATAAAAAAAAAGTATGATCATGACATTGAACCTATGTTCCCCCCTCTCAAAAACGACCAAGCTTACCTTTCACTAAGCATAATTCATTCATCACTCACAAAATCTTGTACAAGTTTATCTCACTCAAAGTATCAATCCACTTATTTGTAATGAACTATCAATCCCCAAAATCATAAACAGGAATAAATTATTCTTATAAAACCTCTTAGCTCTCACCAATGAGAGAGTCTAAAGAGAACATATGCAAGACAAAAGTGCATAAAAGTGAGATGTGAGACAATGGGATCCAGGGATAAAATATAACTAATATCTTTCATCCTATGTGTAGAAGTACACAATAATTAGAAGAGAAAACATGTTAAGAGTTATAAAAATGTCATAAACAAGCTTCAAGAAAAGATGGTTGATTATATATTTGATATTTTTTTCTATCAATATATTGCACCTAATAAAATCGATTAATTCAATTCAAAACTAACAAAATAACAAAAAAAATTCTCCAATTTTAAGCAACTTTGAATAAGAATGAGTGGATTCAGATGATTTAACAATCTTCTTTAAAAAATTGCTGAACCCTATATTTCATCATCCCTTTTAAAATTATCATTTCTCAATAAACTCTTAGTTTTATCAGGTCCATCTTATCTTTGGCAAGTTCATCAATGCTTCCTTGTTAACAATACCCAAATTCATGCAAAATAACACTTGAATGTAATTTGAATAAAATTTACTTTAAGTCTCCACAATATTATCTTATCATAGCATATTCCTACAGAAATTCTCTATCAAAAATATCTAACCGTAATTCCAAAAGTTATATCGTCATTTATATTCAAATTACTTTAAATGATAGACCCAAGCATATCCCATCCAGATATTCTTTTATCTCTTAATATAATTAGCTTATAATAAGGAACATCACACCCACTTAAATTGCATATCTTACACTCAAAACTGATATGCTAATCCAAATATCATTATTTTATAAGCAATTTCTCCGTTTTTTCTAATTTTTCATCTAATTAGAGAGGTCTTACTAGTAAGAAGTAGTAAAAAGTAAAAAAACAAAAAAAAAAAAAAAAAAAAAAAAAGAAAGAAAAACATAAGTCAAGATATCTCATTTAAAAAATTCCAAGTAGGTATATCCATAAAAAAAAAAAAAAAAAAGAAAAACACAAGTCAAGATACCTCATTTAAAAAATTCCAAGTAGGTATATCCATAACCAATAAAAAATAAAAACTTAATGTTAATACATGATATAAAAAAGTTATGACTGTGAGAATCCTTGAGAATCCTTGGTCGCTCCATAATCATTCAAATACTAATCAATGCTCGATAGTGTGCATTGCTAATAATGTTAATATAACTTTAAAATACATTTCTTCTTAGTGCATACCAAATTAATTCACATGATACTCAATCAAATGCCCTCTACATCTTAAAAAAAATTAAATGAAGATATTTTAGTTATTCTCAGCTTTCAATTAATTCCCTAAAAACAAAAAAATGCATCAATAATTGATCTTTCTGGCATAAAAGATAAACAATATTGATTCTTTAAAACCAGAGCAATGCTTTTAAGATCCTATTCCATTATTCCCTTTATGAACTTCACTAAATTATTTTGAAATTTGTATCCCCTACAAATACCCTAATCACAAACATCTTCTTTTTCAATGAATAATGAAAATAAAATCTTTCTCAAATTATTTAGCATCCTCTTAGACTTCAAAATTTTGTTTAAAACCCATAGCTTAAAAACCCCAACAGGTATCTCATATAGGTCTAAATATTTAACCTTAAAATTCTTTTTTAAAGTTGACTTCTTTTTATATTTAAATTAATCTATAATATAACTCTATGTTCTATCCATTATGCCCTTCCAATAAATTAAAAAAAAAAAAAACCTTTTTTAAAACTCACTCAATTTTTCAAAGTAAGATTTTAACTTTTACTTGATGCATTCATCTTTAACTAAGATCATATTATTATCACTTTTAATACACTACTTAACTTTATTAAAGCCTCTACATCTCAATATCTCTAGCCCTAAAAGTTTAACAAATCATCAAAATTGATAGCTGATAGTTTACTCACAACCTTTTACACGAGTTTGGTGCAATTAAAATCATTATAAATTCAATACTATCGGCTTAATATTTATTTTTTATATAACCTTTTGTAATTACTCGATTAAGCACAAATTCTCCATAATCTATTTCTTGACCCTTCAAAAACTTCTACAATAATATTTTTAATTACTAGCCAACTTATCATGCACTAAGTTGGCTCAATTATATAATTCAATTTACCTTGCTTAACAACCCCTCCTAGAGGATGAGCACTCATCTTTTGAATTCCGCTATCTTGATTTAGTCAATTATTGCGGTTGATCATTTTGTCATTCTAAGATACATATACATAACTATTATTCCATATTGTGTGATTGAAATTTTCTCCATTAATCAATGTATAATCTTTGAGAGAATATTTTTCTTCCCTACAAGTAAAAAAGAATATAATTTATGATTCAGAGGCTCCCTTTTTAAAAATAAATAAGACCACTTCTCACTTCTTAAAAATATTTGCTCGACACTACTAGGTCATGTACACATTCAAATAAAATTTAAAACATTCCATTTTTATCTCTGAATTCATATCCACTGTAATTCATCTCATGACTCATCATACTAGAACTTTCAAGCCTATTAAAGCTACCACTAACTATTATCACAGCTGCATCGAATATGTGATATATTAGTATGTCCATCACTTTCAAAATTGATTTTTTTTTAAATAATCCTATAATCCAAATTGAGGAAAATAAACGCTAGAAAACAAATGGAGATCCTCCTAATATAAAAATACCTGTCGCAAGCCCCTTACAAAAATAGACTATTTGCAATTCTAATTTTACATTCTTAATTGACCTTTCATATGTATTTTGAAGTACCTGGCAATTGTACTCTCAAATGTTTAAGCACATATATAAATAACAAAACATCATAATACATTTAAAAGTTTTTTTTTCCCTTCATTTTATTCTTAATCTAAATGAAGAATTTTGAAACTAGTGAGTAAAAAAATATATGAAGCTTAAACCTCAAACTTTGCCAGTTCTCTTGGAGAAGATGTCCGGGAACTTCATTTCGCTCTTTCCTGCTTCCAATTTTGCTAGCATCAAGCCCATGCAACACATCCATTATTCATAGGCCCAAGCATATCACCCAAGTGATATGCTTTAATACCAAAATCAGTGAACAAAACACAACGAAACGGCAATAGATAGGTGGAAGAACCACAAACAAGGGCTACTCTTACAAAAATCAAAGGAAAACAAGCAAGAGACAAGTTTGATCTACTTTTTGAGAGGTAGATCGTCCTCTCACACCCTAGACGTCATTAGGAACACCACACGAAGAAAGAAAATAGCAGCCAAACAAAAACATGCAAGAGACAAGTTTGATCTACTTTTTGAGAGGTAGATCGTCCTCTCACACCCTCTCACACCCTAGGTTCCCCTCGAATAGAATCCCTTCAAAGCATTTCAAAAACTTTCCCTCCTAACTTTCCCTCCAAACTTCTTTGATTTCTCCTCCTTGCATAGGTGATTATGGCCCTCATGGACTCCTCCCTTTCATTTCCCTCTTATGCAACTTCCTTTGTCTGCTCCCCTTCTTCCCATCGCCAAGACCGGTCTGCCTGTGGGCCCGGTTCCATTGCTTCCAATCAATCCAGGGTAGACCATCACGTGTAAGAGCTCGGAGGGCGTAACATTACTCCCCTCAACAAA